CTCACCTTTTCCTCTGTCTTTGAATTCTAGTGATTGTCATGCCTTCTTTGTTCTTGACTGGCCACTCTGGTTTACCATATTTCTCAGTTGTTTCGTTGTGTGATACATCAGTCTCCTTTTGTTGCAGAACTTTCCACTGTCGTAGCTAGCTTTTTTGAATCATTCTTATTATCTGTCCCGATGCTCTTCTTCACTTGCTTGTTAACTTCCGTGTATCCTACCTGACTATCTCCGTTCTTGCTCGACTTTTGTTACTTGATACCTTTTTGTTTTTTCTGCCTTGAATATTGCAAAGGGTTGAGATGTGTTTAATGAAAGGATATCACGTTTTTCAATATTCGTCAAAACAACTTTATTTTGTTTTCTGATAAAATATCAGTCCCTCCGAAGGGTCTGAATTAATGATTTCTGAATAATACCTTCTTACAAAAACCCATGCTATGTTTTTAACGGTCCCTATCTAATTTATCTAATTTAAAGCAAGCACACTATAATGTTATCCTGCTGAATGAAACAGAGAAACATAATATTGTGGTCAATCTGGACAAGGTCCGTAATAGCTTCTCATCCATACATAGAATCACGGACTTCCGAGATCAGATGAGGATCCATTTGAACTCCATGATCTGAAACATTACATTCCAATGCATAATGGGAACGTGATCAGTTAGTGCACAGATTTCATCACATCACGTCACGAATATTCACTGGAACTAGAATTGTGGTCAATACAAAAATGTTATTCACAAATCGATACCAGTATACTATTATTTACAATGACACATCATTAACGATGAAGCGAGTTTAGTAGACAGGTACAACGAATGTTGAATTAGGTCATATTGACTATGGAAATAATCAATACACACTATACCATAGAATCACACACAGTTGCGGAGTAGTCTGTCAATCTCATGCTTATTAGCAAGGCAACGTTTCTTTTTCTCTCATAAAATCGATCAGCTCATTAGTCGTTCAGGTATTTCTCATAGGTCAAACATTCCAATTACACTTCTATTATTACATTTGTCAATTGAGTAGCAGAGTAAATTATAATGTGCATTTACTTCCATCTTTCATTTAACAGAGAACACTTCGTTGTGGTGAACGTTGTTCAGATGATTTATATTTACTCTCATTTCTCTTGCAACCTGACATATAGGAATGTTTTTAGCCACTCTGTTGCATTCGCACCGAATCATTATACACTATCATTATTCCAATTTGTCTATCTCTCAAATAATGTGTGCGTGAATTTTCACCAAATGAGAATTGGGAATGGGAACGAACAGTGTGGTTTTATCACATGCATTTTCTGATCGGATGTCCATTTTTATTATCAACCTGTCTTCCATTTTTCAATACTATACGTCCATTGATCTCATCACCCAAGCCACCACCAGCACCTATGCAGCTACCTACTGTATGATCCGTTTTGAATGTTTTTTGTGTGTGTGAAAATCCCTCAATGTATATACTTGCACTTTGTCCTATTGATCCACTTAGTTGTACATTGTTAGTTTTTTTATTACATTTGAATTGTTAATATCTGTATTTTTTATCATAGTTTTTGTTTTCCTTACGCCTTCACTACGTTCTGTGCTTCTTCCCGAACTGCATCTGTGTTGTTTTACTTGACACTTGTTCTTGGTGGTAGCCATATTGATTTGCTCCTCATTTTGTGTGTGATCTATCCAGTCAGGATAGAATAGCGTTCATTTGTTGTGATTGGTAATTTTACCCCATCTTTTGCCAGCTCCTTTATTTATTGTAATTTAGATTTGATTGATTGAATAATTATTAGTTGAATAGCCGAGTGGTAATATTTGTTTAGGTGACGATTTACATATAAATTTATGACGAATTATAGAACCGCTATTTCCCCGATTACTTGTTTTGATTTCGACGGGAAAGGGCGCGTCTTTAACGTACCAGAATGGCTATCCTTCAGTCCAAAGTGTAGTTTGAATTCTACACCAACACTTCCCATCACTACTTACATCCATCAGTGCTGTTTCCAGGATGTCATCGATGGCAAATTTGAAGAGGTATGGTGGGATTGGGAAACCCTGCCTGACCTCACTGCTCGAATGGAACAATGGAAAGAGATGGTTTTATGCCCTCACTCTGCCTGAGGTATTTTTATATAGGGCCTCTAGGATGTTATTTAACTTATCAGGCACATCCTTCTTCAACAGACAATTCCAGAGAACAGTCCTGTTCAACGAATCGAAGGCAGCCCTAATGTCAAGATGCATTACGGTTATTAGGCTTTGATGAGTATTACGGTGTTCTAAATTTTGGCGGAAGGTGAATATATGATCAATACATCCTCGACCAGAACGAAAGCCAGCCTGCTTCTCGCGAGTCAATCTTTCTCGGTTTTTGAACAACCTACGAAGTATGACGGAAGCCAATATGTTGGACGCAATCGGAAGTAGACTTATCCCCCGATAGTTGTTACAGGAACGACGTGAACCCTTTTCAAAGATAGAAAAACCATCGACTCATTCCAGGTACAATGAATGTTGAATTAGGTCATATTGACTATGGAAATATTCAATACACACTATACCATCAAATCGCACACAGTTGCGGAGTGGTCTGTCAATCTCATGATTATTAACAAGGCAACGTTTCTTTTTCTCTCATAAAATCGATCAGCTCATTAGTGGTTCAGGTATTTCTCATAGGTCAAACATTCCAATTACACTTCTATTATTACATTTGTCAATTGAGTAGCAGAGTAAATTTTAATGTGTATTTTCTTCCATCTTTCATTTAGCAGAGAGTACTTCGCTGTGGTTTGCAGATATTCAGGGTGATCTTCGTTCTGTCGAGTGACGTTTTACAACCAGCATGTAATGACAAAGAATCTACTGCATTATACCTTTACTAAATTTGTTTAAGTTTACCGCTCACAGTGCTGTATCTTAAATTCTGGGGGGCAGCGTCAAGGTTCATATTTTTATTATTCCAGTTAAAGTGGTTGGAGAGTGAAGCAAAACAACAAACCTTTCACTACTCGTGCATACCATAGATACATCAGATTACTAGACAACCCATCCTGTCTCATTAAACTGCTCTTCATAACAAGCACATATGTTCACAGTCAAAATCAGATGGATAGTTTTTCGATGAATGCAATCTAGGTGAGATCGTCTAAGGAGAATATCGATCCACATTTACGAGTTTATCTGTGAAAGAAATGAAATTTTAGTCAACAGGAACATCGTGTATGAATCAAGTTTCATACAACCAAGTATCTTTCACAATCAAGGTAGTCAGATGTTTTCTACATATATACTACTAGAACTGTAAACGCGATAATGCCCATCCCAGAGTCTGTGTGAAAGCTATCTGTCATCAGTTATCTGTTTCTAAACGCAAGAACAAATAGATTAGAACAATAAATAAAGGAATTCCAGTCATTAGCGAAACGCACGAAAATACCGACCAGTATTGCGTGCCTTATCAAAATGAATGAAAATTATGATTCACACTAATATAATAGAACAATAATGAATTTTAATTGATGGGCCACTTGCGACAAGGATAGTTAAATGATATATCAGACCAGATTAGCGTGTTGGGAGCTTAAGCAACGATTTGACTGTTTGGTTATGTAAATAACTACCAGGCACAGTGATATGTGTACATTTATTAGTTGACCACGAATCGGTTTGCTTCATTGAAGTCTGTTAAAGAAGATGGGGACTTTTAGTTGTGGTACGAACTCAGAAATCTATTATTTGTGCTGCAAGTCTACTGATTATGATAATTGTAAAAGACTTCGTAAGCAGTATTTCAACGTATTGGATGAAACCGTTTTCCTTGTAATTCCTATAGTCGAAGTTAGAAAATCGGGGATATTTCCTCAGTGTCAATTGATTTGGTGTGTAAATTGAAATTCAGATTACTCTCAAGAAGGGTGATTTTGTGTTAATTTGGAGTTCCGCTCGAGAGAATATTAACCGCTTTCAAGTCATCATAATTACTTTTTTCAGTCATTGTTTTCTTCACGTTCACTAACCTGCTAACTCGCCTCTTACACCTGTAATGACCCTAATTAAGTGTCACCGCGACGAATGAAGTGACTGGCATATCAGACTGATTCGGTCCAAGCGAAATTTGAGTGATTAGCGGATTAAGGGTGCATTCTCAAGGATAACCAACACCTCGAACGGATTTGAACAGAGTAATTCTAACCTTCATCTTCACATATTGTCATGAAAGCAACAAGGCCTCGTGGTCATGTGGATATGCTTACGAACTTCTCCAGTCATATTTTTCAAAATGGCTACTCTTTAGTAAAAATGGCATCATGGTTTATTAGTTTACACTACAATGTGTGTTATCATTCAACCCACTTTATGCGTATTATCAGTCACATTAAGGTATCTTGGCACACGTGTTTAAGGATTCGAGACACTACGATAATCGCTATTTTCAGCAAGTGGAACTCGTTGACACGAAAAATATACTCAAACGAACATTTGTTTCTTCAAACTCGGAGGGGATTTCTACTCGTTCTTAATATGTGAGATTCATACACTGCTCAGCTCACTCACTACTGCAGTGAATGATGCTTACATCGCCCTAACACTTCCTGTATTCAGTCAATCGTAATCTATGATTCAGACGATGATGTGCTGTGTATAAATAAAATTGAGGATGTATGCTTGATGCGTCTAGATGTTCGCTGCTACGAAACGGTCAACCTATACATCAATTTTAATCAAACCTAATTATTAAGCCATCAATTATTGACTCATCAAAAACAACGACGAATGGAGGAAAAATGTTCACATTTCATAACAGATATTTTTATTAACTTAATATTAAAAGCAAATTACTTAAAAAGAATAAAATGGAAAAGAAATCTCCTTCAGATCATCATCAGCTAAGATATTGATGTTAAGAAGTAAACTTTAAATAAACAGAATGTTCATTCACTCGTTTCACGTTCGCCGTCAACATCAGGAGGTTTAGGATATATCTCACGCATTTGGGAGATGACCGTGAGATACGGGAGGTTGAGGAATGCCGCCAGTATTCGGACGACGACCGCGAGATACGGGAGGTTGAGGAATGCCGCCAGCATTCGGACGACGACCGCGAGATACGGGAGGTTGAGGAATGCCGCCAGTATTCGGACGACGACCGCGAGATACGGAAGGTTGGGGAATGCCGCCAGTTTTCGGAAGACGATCGTGAGGCACGGGAGGTTGTGGAATGCCGACACCACTGGGAGGTTGAATGCGTAGTCGAGAGTCATCAGGATTCGGACGATGATCATCAACTTCGGGACCTATTTGAGGGGCATTAGCATAAAATGCTCCATCTTTTTCCTCTTTTAAATCGGTTGGGTGCATTTTTTCATTTTCCTTCTCTGATTCTGTAGGTGCAATAAGAAAGAAATCGTTATTTAGCTATGTATCAGTAGTTACTAGCTCACCGTTATGGGAACCTGATATAAATTTGTCTACTTACTTTTCTCGCCATTGAAGGTATCCACAGCTGACTCAACGAACTGGATCATTGCAATGTGCACCATAAGCATCATGATGAGCATCTTGATATATCTCATTGTCAGACCGATTGTTCTCACGTCAGATGAAGAAATTGGTGACTCTCCTCCTCTACTACAATAAAATATAAAATCAACTATCACATCAACGCATATATACTCATACTGTCCAAATGACACAGACAATAACACGTTGACACACACGTTTGTGTTTGGTCATAATTTGTTTATTCATTGAACGCAGAATGTACATACGGCCACAATACGTTAGCGGATTGGTAGTTTGTACGTTATACACCGTTCGATAACGATGGAGAGCACAATATCAACAGGGTGACGTAATGAGTGGGTATATCCAGCATTTGGCGACCGATCACCACAGCCTACTTGATGTGTATGATCAGGTCATGTTCACTTGGAAGTACGAAGACTGGTGATGAGAATGGGCGATGAAGAGACAGTCTTAGGCTTTCTTATCGATAACGATGGAGAGCACAATTTCAACAGAGTGACATTATGATTATGTATATCCAGCATCTGGAGATCAATCAGGCGGTACACTCTGGATTACCAGTTGTGGTCATTCAAGTGATGATGCTTTTTCAGCAACGATCAATATGTCCTGCTGGTCACTGTGTATTCACTCTCAAACTAGGCAGGGAATGTACTTCATCTTGTATTCTGCAGAAACATCAATTCATCATCATTACAAGCATGCAAAGATTTTCAGGGTAGTGACCATAAAATAATTGTTGATCCACTTGCTATCTGAGTATAGCCATGCTTATTGTAGCCTTTCGGACTCTGTGGTAATTATACAATTTAACTCGTATGACATTATAGTTTGCATAAACCAAATTAAATATGAATGTTTTAGTTGCTGACTGTTTCATTACTACGATATTTGTACTTTCGAACGGTCAACTTTATCTGGTTAAATTTCGAAATAACATAAACGATTTAAAGAAAGTTGTGTCAACAACTTCAGATTACCGGTGATCGCATTATTGATATCGCAAGTTCAATTTTCACTAATCACAATCCAGATTCGTTCGTCCGAAATGTGCTTTTGCTTGTGTGTGCTTTAGTAAAACTTGAATATCATCAGATACAATTTAACTCGTATGACATTATAGTTTGCATAAACCAAATTAAATATGAATGTTTTAGTTGCTGACTGTTTCATTACTACGATATTTGTACTTTCGAACGGTCAACTTTATCTGGTTAAATTTCGAAATAACATAAACGATTTAAAGAAAGTTGTGTCAACAACTTCAGATTACCGGTGATCGCATTATTGATATCGCAAGTTCAATTTTCACTAATCACAATCCAGATTCGTTCGTCCGAAATGTGCTTTTGCTTGTGTGTGCTTTAGTAAAACTTGAATATCATCAGATGCACTAGTTGACTTTCCATTTGCTCAACTGTGCAGTATACCGATTGAGTTGTACTGTTCTGTTTTGATGTATGTGTAAGTGGGGGGAGGAGAGTTTGTTGGTGGTGGTAATGAGATGTTTGCAAATTAATATATCACTTCAGATTTGTATAATATATATTGCAACTGATACCACTACTAATACTACTACTACTACTACTACTACTACTACTACTACTACTACTACTACTACTACGTCTACTACTACTACTACTATTACGTCTACTACCTTTTGTGAAAGAAGGGAAAGGGTAACGACTTTTCAAGCGCGGACCACATATACAACTTCCCTTGCTTTTAATTCTGTTCACATCTCACACCAATGACAAACAAGCGCATTACAAATCTCTCCTCATGAATGTATTCAAAAGTGTACAAACATTTTGAAAAACTGCCGTGAAAGAGTTAATAATCAACTTGATTTCATTAAACACACAATTTCCTTTCGATTAACACATTCACCTTTCCTGCCTTTTCGATTGTTGCGAAATTTATTATTTCAGTTCCCCAAGTCAAGGTATATGAGATGATTATGCATATAATCTGAAATTTATATTTACAGAATTCGCGCCATTTTAAAGTCATCCTCGGCCTGATATAAATTGTAACATGAAATGTAGAGAACAAACATGTGATTTAAGATTCTTTTAAGTTTACTAGTTCAAAAATTCTTTAGGTAGTACACTTATAAGATGTAGTTCAGAAATGCACCGCATCGGTCGGCAACTTTTCATTCTTTCTAAGTGCACATTCTGTTGATTAATGAATGGTGCACTGAAGGTCATTTTCTGTGCAACAACAAATTTATTATACTCATCTGCAACTAGAGAAACTAAAACAGAAACAGAGAGCATGGAACAGCAAAACAAGAATTACTAAAATATATTAATCGGGTCAACCATATTGCACTTGCCATGTGACTCAGTGATATGCTGTTCATCTTAGATATTATTCAAACTAGTTAGGGTGGCCAGGGACGGTGTTAACGTAAAATAACAACAGTTAAGTCATCTCACTTAGTGAATTTAGTAGCAGGAATGGCTGAACATTTAAGGTTCCTACATTCTCACTTGTGCAATAAAATACACTTACACATACTAGAACATTTAATGTATTTTCAGAGGAGCAGTGTGCACCAATGAAGAGAACAGAGGATGTGAGTGATTCTGTCTTACGGATAGATTATGGTAGATCATTCCAGAGTCTAGTAAATGTACAGGTAAAGTAATTCATAAAGATGGACGATTTGGAATGGGTTTGTTTCACAAGTGGCAAGGCGTTACGGATGTCGAAATTAGACGTTTCTACAAATCGACTTACTTGATCAAATATAAAGGATAGTTTGTCAAGCATTTTCAAGAAAACGATGAGGTTTAGTTTGAGTCTCCTCTTCCATCAAGTGTCGAGTGCAAATTTATTACATTTCGAGTTATATGTCAGGGTACAGTCATTTCGAAAACTCCAAATTTTAAATCGTCTCTGAACTGATTCCAACCTTAATTTTTTCTTGGGGCACACACTCTTTAGAATAAACGTGGAGTATTCTAGGAGTGGTCGAACACAAACTTTGCACATTAAAATACGTGACTCAGTGTTACAACGGTTTCGAGGTGTGCAACCTATTAGACGTTGACACTTGGACTTGTGTTTCAATACCTGTTCTGTAAACGACGAATCATAGGAGTACCTAAGTCACCAGTCTAATACTCTATGTAACTGAGATAACACCACAACATTTGTGGTCAGATCTAAGTTGAATGATGCATTACCGAAACATATTCATACATATTTTAGTTGTTATAAACCCCAGTCGCCATTTCGAGCAACTTGTTAAGCTTCATGATGATGCAATTTAGCACGTTGTTTGGCTCATGAGGACAGGACGAATAAGCTACTCAATGATCATCCGCATACAGAAATGGCTCACCCATGCAGAAGCATTCACAAACATCATTTGGGAAAACTGAAAAGAGAAAAGAACCTAAGACACAACCTTATATCACACCAATTCTAATAAGGACAGCGTTCGACAATGAATAGTTAATTTTAACAACTTCATGACGGTTATCGAGGAAGGAATCAAACCAAGCAAGCAGAGGGTGTTGGACACAGTAGGATGTGAGCTTATCCACAAGAAGTTGGTGGTTAACCATATCAAAGGCTTTGGGTACGTTGAGGTATAGCACTAAGACTAGAACTCCTTGATTATGCAGAGAATAGACTAAACTAATGAAGCCAAAGTAATATGTCACACAAGATTGACTTTTTAGAAATCAACGTTGGGAATCCATAATAAATCTTCCAGCGAGTAAACAGTCGGAGAGTTCAGAACTAGCAATTTTTTCTATAATCCTAGATACGACAGCTGTAAAATTTATGGGCCGATAATTGTTCATGTCAGTCTTATCTCCAGATTTGTAACGTGATATGATTTACGATGTTTTCTGATAGTAAGAGTAAGTACCTGACTTCATAGAGATTGTAAGCAGCTTTATAAGAAGTGCAATATCTAGTCGACGCCCAACATTGAGGTTAAGAAACCGAATTCCATTTTGCAGAAGAATGATCTGTGAAAATGTGAGAACCAGCTTGGTACCACTTTACTGTGAGTACCAGGAAACATATTCAACAGAGTGTTGTTGAATCGTACGAATGATTCAGTCGACGCCCAACATTGAGTTTAAGAGACCGAATTCCATATTGGTCGGTGGCGTATAAACCAAGTCGCGACATTACGGATCATCGTTAAACAACCAGTTACATGAAACTCATCACTACACATCAACTTACCTCGCAAGCGAAAGTGTTTGATGGCGTGAGTAAAACAACTTTATGGAACCTTACTCGACATTATGTAGTGAGTGGCTGAGAAGATCATGAACATCATACGAAATTCATACGACGGGCTACATTGCATAGTGGTGCATGAAAGACAGCTCACAGATACATTTCAATTGAGGACTGGAGACAGAGAAAGCTAGTCACACTACCCTTCTTCTTCATTCTGGTGGCTGGCTGTATTATGAAGATCTCGACATCTGAGGGAAAGCACGGAGTAAAATGTACAACTAGGAATCAATCGGAAGATTTGTACTTGGTAGACGACCTCTCCCTTCTATGCCATACTCACCAAGAAATCCAGATAAAGACAACTAGTGAAGCAACAGCCTCTGTACACGTCAGTAAGCCCTAACATACAGAAAGGAGAGTGCATGAACATGAAATTCACCACACAGAAGTCCAACACAATAACAATTGATAGAAAAACTCTGGAAAAAGACGGGACGTTTCATCCAACTGAATAACATGATCGATGAACATGGAAAATCTGATACTGACGTAAAGCCGAGGATTTGCAATGCAAGGACAACATTAAGGCAGTTGATTAACATATGAAATTCAAAACAAATGTTTGTCAGCGAATAAT